TCAATCAACTACAGCATTATAGGACATTCCAATATTAAAACCAATGTTCTGGAAAACAAAGCTTAGCAACTTTTCTTCACCTTTTGGTTTTTAGAAATTTTCCTATGCACACATAAATGAAGAACCTTGCCATGAGCTTTTCATAGTTCAAGGAGAAGTATAAGCTAATGATTTAAACCTTGAAGACTGTTTCAATTAATAYCTTGTTCTAAGCCATTGTATTTTGGCTTTGAATAGAGTTGTTAGAAGGTATAATTTAATCATTTTTATGCTCATTTTAAAAGAGCAAATTTCATGAAGTGAAATGGCATAATTATTTTCTAAGTATTTTTATTTTTACACTGTGTATAAAGTTAGAAATACATTATTATGATCAATATACTGTAAACACGTGAATAGATTATTCAAATGCATGACAGTTACAATTCTTACATGCACATGAAAGCCTGTTAAGGAAAAAAGTATCAACCCAATTAAATACTGTCTTTTCAAGTTATTGCTATGTTCTCAGAGCACAATTTACTCTTTGGATATCACTGCTTACCCAAGTGTGGCATGATAGTTAGAGGCTACAAGTCATCTGTACCTTGCATTCTTCTAAGAAAGTAAGAAAACTGAATCTTCTCAGCAGCTCTATGGACAGTCTCAGAAGAGGTGAGCATCTACTCCAACTGGAGCATTGTGAACTGCAAAACAAGCTGAAAATTTGTATGCTTGAAAAATTAAAGTTATGTGACCACCTCCATCAGTCAGATCTAGGTATATTATATAGAAGAGTAAGTCAAATACCTCACCAGGGACAGGGGTACATAGAACACTATATACTTGTTTATTTATTTATTAAGAGCCTGGGAATTGCAATGTGAGAATAGAACAAGAGCCAGGAGTACATACAGCAGAAAAACCTCAAATGTGCCTTTCTGCATAACAAGTAGGCCAGCAAAACTGTGCTTCAGCCTTCTATATTCAGGGATAAATGTAGTGGACTGTGTGGAAAAATGATGGATATTTGCTATTCCAGGAGGACACATGGCAGAGAGCCAGCCTAAAATTATTACTAATCTAAGGTAAACAGGAACCCTGAATCTACTTCAGGGCTTTTAATTGTGCCCAGTGCTACTTGACAGTTGAGTACCCACTGCTACTCTTTTTCCTTACCTATGTGAAAAAAATACTATAATTCCATCCACGTTTCCCCAAGAAAAAAAAATACTACTTCTAGTAATCTTTACTTCTGTAGTATTCAATCTGGACGTGTACTACAGCATCCCCAAATGCTTAATGTTTACCTCATGCTCAGCTTCAAGCAGTACAAGTGGTTGAGAATTCTTGTGTGCATTTCACTGAGAATATACATGGGAAAAAAAAGAAGGGAAGGGCAGAGCTGATCAAATCTGCTTGAAAGCCAAAGGCAGAGCAGTGCCATACTCCCACACCAAGTCTTCCACGGGAATCTTTCAGTTTTGGGGTCCTTGTGGTAAAGCCAAAGCATGAGTCCTGCCTCCAGCAGAAGTAAACTATTTGCCCTCCCAAAGCTTACATTGCRTTCTTCACATATATTCATTGAAGAAAAAAAGCCAATTAAACTACCAGTCAGATTAGAAGAAGTGCCAAAGGGGTGGGAGAAGAACTGAAATTTTATTAAACCCTTTGGAGTTCTACAATCATGTTTGTACAAAACTGATGGAAGACTCAGTGCAAGACAAGTCTGCAGGAATTTAATTTTCTTCACAGTAGTTACAGCTGCACTTACAGCAAAAACTTAAAGAGAATTCTGCACTTAGGACAACCTTAATCCCTATGCCACAGTATGCATGCAAAAAAGTGGAATGGCAAGTGATTGTGGCAACCATAGTAATTAATGTAAATACTCTAAAACAGGAGATTTAAAAAACAAAGCATGAGGTAAGATTTTAATTTAATTTACCATCACCTGTCTAACAGGTACTCACCCACCTAAGCTGGGGATGAAGTATGTGTATCAAATTTTTATTAGGATAATTTGTTAAAGATGCATACGTGGAAGGAAAGAAAGACCCTTTTGAGGAAATAATTTCAMCATGAAGAGCCTCATTGGTTGAACAAACAAACAAACAAAATCTATATAATTGATTTAATAAGCTATTCTGAGAAAGGGACAGAACAGACTTAATTTCAAAATAAGCCTTTTTGTCTCTTAAAACAATTGGACTTAAAGAGCAGCCATATTCAACAGAAACATATTGTAATTTTATGATGGATTCCTGATCGTGTGCAGACACACTATTCCTGATAGTGTGCAGACACACTACAGTGCACTGTAAACAGCAAGAAATACACAGGTTACCTTCATCTTTKGAATGAAACTGAAACAAAAATGAAAACCTGACCATCATTTTCATCTTAAATGACTATCATAAAAGTAATTTATATAATGACTACCAAGTGTTATTGAAAGGTAAATGAAAAGCAGAAAATACATTTTCAAATGAAACCCCAAAAATTACATTCACRAAAAGAAGTTGTAGCAGAAAATACTTTAATTTGCATTTTGTAGAYTCAAACATAGCAAATATTCAGATGTGTTTATATCTCAAGAAGCAGTTCCAACACTGATTTTGATTTTAATAAATATTACATTTTAATAGGGTAGCTATATGGAGAAATTGTAAAGTGATGAATTGCTGATTGCTACTTTATAAACATGAGCATTAAGATTATTTACATCATATTACAGGTCGTTTCCCAGAAAAGCACAAAAGCAAGGTCAGATAAAGGCAACCCAACCATCAAACACAATTCAAGAAAGTGTGGCACAGTGTATTTCATGCACATACAATGACAGACAGCACAGACCATCAGCTGAAAAGTAGGAAAACACTTATTATTCCAGCTTACACAAGTCTCTATATTTCATTGTTTTAAATTTATGTTCTGACCCACCTCCCCAGGCACTGATAAACAAGTTATACAGCAATAGTGCCCACTTTTTACACCTAGTTTGCACTAAGTATTTTTTCACCATTTCGCACAATGCTTCACAACTTGGGAACAATTAAACATTTTTATCTTTGTCTTTTCACTACCTCTGGGATTACAATCATTGTSTCATTTATGCAAGAAAATGTACTGTTACTCTGAAATGAATGGCAGACAGTATTGACAAGATGATCTCCAACAGGGAGCTGGAATTTAAAATAGTTTAGAGGTCATGGACAGTGTAACTAACCTTATTCTTCAGTATAAAAAAAGGTGTAAATTTTTAAAATTTAATTAAACATATAAAGAACTAAGTCATCCAACTCACACAGCAGAACTTCATAGGCAGCATATTCACAGAATGTACATCAAATACAGTAAAAAAGATGGTGACAGGAAAATTGTTTCAACTAGATTAGTTACAAGAAAAATCTTATGTCCTATCTCTACAATGACAATGAAGTGAAATGCCATCCATATTTGATCATGAAGCAAGATGTACCTTCAGGTGCAACAACACTTACACACACACACACACAATTTGCTGTTTGGTTGCATTCCTGTGTTTCCATGACACAAAAGAAGAAAAGCTTCTCATCCCTTTATGTCCTTACCCAACAGTATTAACCTTGTGCCAATGAGGGCCACAAGGACCAGGTGTCCAGGACCTGCATGCTTGAGTCTCTCACCCGTCCCATGAGCAACTGCATGATCCTGCTTCAGTGTCTGTAGATTTTAGCCAGGCACAGGTGGAAAAAAATGTAATGGCAAGCTGCGTCCCCAGAAGGAGACTGGAAGCAATTCACTTTCCCACAAGGCAAGGGGAAAAAAGGAAGAAACATTTCTGAGACTTAGGTCCTTCATGGGGCAGTGCAGTCAATACAGTTTATGTTTTTTTAAACTAGAAAATCCYGCCTAAAGCTTTAGGCACTATAATATATATAACAATACAGATAAATGCCAGTTATACAGCACTCCTCACACAAGTGAGCCTACAGTTCTAGCCCTCGCAGGTCTATCCAAAGGCAAGGAATTAACAGCCAATTAAAAATTACAGTCTTTCAATAAATACCATTACTCAGAAAATTTAGATGCTCATTTACCAAACACAGCTGTTCACATTTGAGTTACTTACCTAGATTCCCACTTCAATTTAATAGAGAAATAAACTCTAAGGATACAAATACAGAGCTTGGAAGAGGCCAAATGCATCCACCTAGAAACCTCTTGCTCTTCTGCATTAAAAGAAAGCCTGTGATGACTTGCTCAGACACCAGTGCCCACAGGCCAGAGAAGCTACTAGGTAAAAACATCCCCCAAGTGGCATCAGCTTGCCCTAACATCATGTTTGATTACCTATTGACAGGACAGGATACTAGTTCATTGCCAATTTGCACAACTACCACCAAAATTTTGTGAGGGTGGTTTGGATTTTATTTAGCATGTCCCAGTTTGACACAAGGGGGATAACTTTCTCAAGAAACAGTATTTGTTATAAAAGCTAGTGTCAGCAGAACAGTCTATTTAATTTCCAGTCAAGTAGAAATTTGAGGCTGGTCTGGAAACAAAGGACAGAGCATATTCCAGCTTTCAGAAAATCTCAGTGGTAAAGGAACACATTATGGAAGCCAATACAGTTACAATCAATTATATAAATAGGTCACTCAATATCTGATCAGGTGAAAAATGTTTAAGAGCACTTAATTTTGTGAAGACTTGTTTTTAAAAACAAGAGGTGTATCTACACTGTACCAGCACTTCCTACATTCATAACTCCTAACTTCATTTTTAAACATGCTGGTTTAAAATAAATTATTACTTGATTTTAAATTTAAACCAATATTTGGTTGCTACTAATTGGTAATACTGTTTTGGAGTCTGTTTTGACACTGGTAAGTTATCACTGACATTTGTGGACAATGATACATGATTAATTTCTTATTCTATGAAAGTAATATTATTAACATACCCGTTTTTTAATGCTGAATATCCTTTTAAAGAAGATACAGTAAAGGTTTGCATAGATAGAGTATGTGGTCAGTATGATTATGAATTTTAAAAAGCGTCTTTTTTTAAAAGTGACTACAAAAGCAAGTTATTTTTACACTGACCTTTTAACATAGCACTTAAACATAACTCATAAAGAGCAAATTTACTTCCATGGCTCAAAGACCAAAGTGTGCTATTTTACCATTTTAGACATTAAAAAGTCAATTTTTGGAAACTGAACTTGTGATTACAATCTAGAAAATAATATGGAATAAATGGAAACTTGATTGACTGACGTTTTTCAGCTAGCAGCACTSCACTAACCATCTCCCCCCTGTCCTGACCCCTACCCCCAAGTAAATGCAGGTAAGGGGCTGAAGCAAGGGGCTGCAGAAAAGTCACTTTCAATCTGCTGCATCAGAGACAAGGTAATGAAAAAAAAAACTGAAAAAGCACAAGACAAGGGGAAAAAATGTTGGTATCAGCATGATGCAAAAAGCTCAGCATGAAAAAATTTTCTGCTCAGTAAATTTGCTATTTTTAAGTAATTTTCGTTATTATGGCAAAAAGCCAAAACTCAGCAAGAGCCTTATTTCCTTTTTGTAGGGTTTTTAGGTGTATGTTTGGGCTTTCCTTTTTTTTTTGGTTGTTTTTTTTTTATTATTATCTGTTTGTTGTTGGTTGGGGGTTTTTCCCCCTTCCTTTTGACCGTCAGAACTAACATACCAAATCCTCTGAATATACTGAAGCTCAGTAACTGGGGAGAGAAAAGAASAGACTCCCCTTCCCTCTGGACAGGCCAAGTCAGAGTGGAGGTACATATGTTTTTATATAAAACAGTTGTCTCAGAAAGACAAGGAAATTAGAAAATTTATGAAGTTTCAGTACAATAGAACYGTGAGCAGAAAACTTAAAAAATAAACAGATCAGCATAATTTACACATTTAAAAACTATATATTTCATTCATAAATATATTTTCTAATTAATAACCATTCCTAGTTCAAACATAAATATTCAAGTTGGTATTTGATTTTACTTATTATCAGTTCATGTGAGTCCTGTAAGGATCAGTTCCTTCTGCTCAATGCAGTCATGTCAATGATGTTTGCTAATGGATTGTGCAAATACCTTCATTACCTAGTTTGCTGTAATAAAACTTTAAAATTCTGCAACTCTTTTATACTCGTGGAAAGCCTGTAAAACAAAAACCACCCAAGTGTTACTAAGTCGGATGCAAAAGAGAAGTACAAATTATCACAATAATTTTCCTGTAGTTTCTTTTCTCTAACACAATTCTGTTCCAAAGATTAACAATTGAAGATACATTTTCTTTCAAAAGGTCTGCTATCTTACTCTCCATTTTATATTTATATATTACAGGGATTAAAGTTTATATACATATTTAATTGTCCCAGCTTGATTAAACAACTAAAAATCACTGAACAGAGGTAATAAAGTTTATTACATTATTTTATCAGATTGTTTAAATAGATTGTTTAAACAGGAACAGATTGTTATATTCAAGTCTGAAGAACTAACACAATGAGCAGAGCATGCTCTACGTACACTTCTTTTAAAGCTATTAAAATGTTTCATCATTTGAATGGGATAAATTTAAAAAAATATTCCAATTTAAGAGATATAAATTTCATCTTGTGGATGGTGGATTTATTGACTTGAGACAGAGGGGATGAATTAAATCCAAACACAGAATGATGACAAAGGCGAAAAATCAACACTCCACATGCCCAATTTGAAGGCATTATCAATATCACTGATAGCAATTCAGCCTTTAAAAACCTACTGCTACATGTACTATACCATCTTTCCACAGAGAAAGAGTATTGACACTCAAGTTTTATATTTTTCCACTATAAAAATCGCAACATTTTACCTTCCGAAGGCATTTACAAGAGCAACTATTTCTTGCCGCGTGAGTTGAAAACCTTTCGATGGGCTATTCTCAGGAAGGCTCTGTATTTCTTTCTCAGAAAACAAGATCTTCAGAGCAGTTCCTAAGCCTTGAGTCTACAAAAAAAGTCCAATGTTTTAACATCAGTAAGGATCATTCCTTCAAACACTCACAAAACCATTAAAAAAAMCCCAAAGCATACTAATCCAGGCAAACTTTAGTACCAGTTCTTATATACTGACCCTCCTACYAAACAACTGCAGAAAAAACAGGACATTTACGCAAATGCATAACACCGATTGTGTACCAGGTTCAGTCACTTATTTAAGAACATTTGTTTCCTCAGCTATTCTTGCTCTTCATCCTTATCTTTTTAATCTCTCCTTATCTTTTTAATCTCTTCTTTTTCCTTCTCTTCTCCTCTTGGCCATGCATATGAAAATATGCCCATTACAACACTTCCACCTCCCTCCTGCCCCTTACAGATCCCTCACTCCTGCAGGAGCGTATCTCGCCTGTTCCTCTCTGTTTCCCCTTAGAAGTCAAACTAAGTTTTCTTATGAGGTATTACAGCACATGCACTTTTTCCACCTTCAACTCTAGTGGCAWATATTGCAGTTTCAATTTCAACCGCTATTTCCTATGCAGAAACAGAACAGAGGCAGCTTTTCTTATTTTCATTTTCAACTGGGCTACAGAAGCAACCGCTGGATTTTGACAAAAAGTGGTTGAAGCAGGCTGCAAGAGAACTTTATAGGTCAGGAAATCTGGTCCTATTTAATTGTGAGTGAGGAGGAAAAAACAGTAATAGATCAGAAGCACTAACTAGGACAGGGTAAGCAGAAATCCAGAAATTCAGCAGAGACCATCAAATTTTTGATGCTACAAACCCTTTGAAAACTTCACTCTGATAAGTTAATGCAATACAGCAGGGACTCCAAAATAACTATTCCCAGTCTGGACTTAAAATTAGTCTCAGTCTGGACTTAACCTTAGTCTTGAGGTTTAAAATGTTGTTCTCTGTTAAATAAAAATAAGGGTCAAGAAAATTAAGCCGGTTTTCAACTTTCAGCTTTACTGTGCACCTTTGAGTTAATTTGCTGCCTGCTGAGTAAACTGTGAAAATCGGAATTACTGCTTTTTCTTACACCTCAGTTTGTGGAGTTAAGCTACACACTGGATTCCCTAACAAGTAAGTGCTGTATTTAAAGGAGGGTTTCCCATAGATGATTCCACAAGGCTCACTGGATTGCTGAACACTGGTAAGATATTGAYTGCTAGTAATGTCTCACCATGAAGCATCTGCTTCAAAAGTATCTCTTTTACAACACAGACTCTACCTTTTAGTAAACTAAACAGCTGTTGACTAAATGAAATAAACTATTTGAAAAAATAAAAAGTTGAAAAATGCTTAATTGAACTAAACATATATCTATTTCTAATATATAGGTGAGGATATCAAGGACCAACCACGTGCAGAAAGCCTGAATGCTAGAGGTAAGATGCATCCTGCCAAAACGAAATAGATGCTTATCTTGGAACCTGCCCCTGGCCAGAACACACCTACACAACATAAACTGTACCTGCAGCTTGCCCCACAGCCTGCATTTGTCACATCCAACRCAGTCCATTATGCGAGAGATATTCTTGAAATGCAATCTGAATTCTTCCTATCAGTTAAAAACAAAATAAAAAAGCGTAAGTTAATGTACATCTTAGCTTTACAAAAATAGAAGGTTTATGAATCTAATACCGTTAGTTAATGTAGTACCATGAGACTATCAATTCTCTTACCAAAACCAAACAAAAGCATTGCTTTACGTAGCTGGGCCATAACGAAGATCTACGTAAATCCAGAATCTGGTTTCCAAGCCACTTCTAACAGTTAATTCCTAAAAAAAATACCCTCAAAAATACAGAATATGCGGAGTATAGTGTGGATGTTGTACACTGACTTTCTACCAACTTTCTCAAAATTTTCTGAGTTGAAAGTACTCTATGTGTGTCCCTGTCCATTTTTTCTTCCATTATTCAAATCCCTTTTGAACCAACCACCTTTCACAAACAGGCTACAATTCACAAAAGATATTTCCCATTCAAAGCTGTCGGTAGATCGTTGTTTTGCAACTTCAGTCAGAGCAGGAAAGAGCACAGTGCGGAACTAATTAAGCTGAGCTTAAATTTTTTAAGGTACAAAAACCACTARCTGGGCTGATAAAACACGGCCACTTTTCTAACAGCATTTTTTGTAATGTTGATGACATTCCATAATGCTACTGAAATAAGTATTACAAGCATTAATAAATATTAAAACAGATCTTTATTACCAGGCCCCACTCCAGCTGTGGAATTATATGTATACCAACCTGAACAGTTGCATGTTAACACTGGAAGTAGTGGGGTAGGTACAACTTGCACACTGGGTTCCCATGTGTAAGAACTGTTTTTCTAATGTTAAGTATGGTATTATATTACATGATACTATATTGTATATTATGTTCTATTATGATATGTAAGGCATCATTTTCTAAAAAAAACCTGACAGGGTTGGTTATTATTTTCCAGATAATTATGTGAAACAGATACTCCACTTAAAAACGAGCACCACTACATTTACTGGCAATACTAATTCAACTCATTTTCCCACCACAGTCCTGAGGCACAAAGCCAAAGACTTGAGTCTGCTTGGATCATGACAGCACCTTACTAAAAAGCTGATCAAAAGGCCTCAGAAAAGATGGGATAAAAACTTACTCTCAGCAGTATCTTTGTGCTATGTAGAAGGGCTTTCCAAAATAACACAGCTTAATTTCAAAATGGGTATTTTGGATGTCATTCAGAAAACTAGCTTTACCTTTAGTGACTTGGCTCCTTTTTTATCTCCAGCAAACATGGACTTTTCATCAAAGTGCATATGGAAGGATCTAATAAAGACAAAATGCAGTCAAAACAAACGCTGGAATATAAAACAGAGTTCAATTAACTCTGATTACCTGCCATCAGTGTAAAATATTTTCAGAGCTCCTAGTCTTTGCAGATTAGGCTTTAAAAATCACTCAATGTATTAGTTTTACTATTCAATCACTAACTTATTTACAGTTTTGTTCTAATTTACACTGAAACAGACTTAATGTTTGCCTTCCAATTGGTATTTGTCTGACTACATCTCAATTACCTAGCAAGATTATGATTAGGGACAGCAATGAAACCACACAACGTGTTACCAAATCACATAAAGTAGAGCAAAGGAACTAAACTTAAGAACCTTATGGAGTAAATGGAAAGAAGAAGGGATGGCCAAACCACCAGAGATTAAGTCGGTGATAAAAGGTGGATTACTCAGTGGATCATTAAAAGACTGTATGCACTACTTTCCTTTTCAAAATAAAGCATGTGCCTCCTATATCAAAGAATCAGAAAAAGAAACACACAGGGAGTAACGCCGGGTGCTGTGTGGTTTGTGATTTTTTGTGTGCTATTTTTTTGTTTGTTTTAAAAGATGGGTATAGTCAAACCTCAAAATTAATCTCTCCTATCAAAAGTACAAATTCCTCTTGAACTCTCCCACTACTTAATTTCTTCATTCCACTCTCATGCTTGTCACATCCTATCAAGGAACCACCTATTCTCACTTCCAAATATAAGTGAGAATTTCAAACTATTGACTAAAAAAAACCCTATGCCTTACTTGGTGTCCCTGAAGATATCTAGCAATAGAGCTTTAGATTCAGCATCCTCATGGCCATTGCCAGTGTAAAGGTCGACAACTGCACGCTCAAAGTATGGGGCAACCTTTGACAAAGCACGCAGCTCTATCAAATATAAGAAATACAAGTTCTTGAGCCTCCTTGGTCCTTCTCCTTTCGTTTCAGCAGGGTCAAAGCGGCGAGTGAACTCTTTCACATTTGGTCCCCAGCGGGGCTTTCCCCACGTTTCTACACAGAGAAAAAAAGAAGGACAGGGGCAGTAGAAGAAACACATTTAGAACATTAAAGCAACTAAGTACACCTCAAAAATGTTCAGAGAAACCAAAACACATTTTACAGATACTGTAGAATTCCATTAGCAATTTTACTTAGACCTACCTTCAAGAAGATAATTTGCACACAGATGCAAATTGATGCTAGCATGAAGTCCAGAAATGAGTTTATAAAACACTCTTTTCTCAAGGCACAGACCTATCCAGGAAAAAAGACAAACAGATCCCAAATTAAATACTGGAAATATTTTATTAAAATGAATATAACCCTGACGTTTTAGTGATGTAAGTTTGCATTGTTAACTTTCAAGAATTAAAATTATAACACTTGAGTATTGTTAATAAGCCCTTATTTCCATCATAGGAAAAGCTTATCTCCTATTGCTATAAAGCAATACTAAGAACAACATTTGACATTTCTTGCCTGGTATTTCAGTGTTCTAGTGAACACAGTCAAATAAATATCTCTTCAATTGGTACAGATAAATTGYTTACGAAAATAAGATGCTTGCATTGTTTGAGCATTGTTTCAATAAATTTGAAATAATCTTGAATTCTGACAGTCTGGAAATCACATATATTAGAATATATACTGTGATGCATCTTTACAATTAGAGCTACCACTGAATTAGAGGAYTGGCCCTACTGAAATACACCAAAAGCCCCAATGGTCAAAATATAATTCATATGCAGAAAATACTTCTAATTCCACTTAGAACTATAGATAGAGACTACACTTGAAATGTAAAGGTTTGCTCCTCTCAATGATATGTTTGGGCAACTGTCCTGCCACTTCAGTCTTCACAAYTGGAAGCAGGAAGAGCTGATGGTTGAAGCCTACCTGTGAGGCTGACATGTGTCTTCATTTACTGACATAATTTTTTAAAGGCATGTAAACTTACATGCTTTCCTACAATGGCACCAGGTAAGTAAAGGCTTAGAAAAGGCAGAGTGAATGAATTTTAAAATTAAGTGCATTTAACTCACTTAATTTTATGCATGTCTCCAAAATGTGATGTTGTTTGCTACTACTGCAATAATAATTTCCATTTCAACATGAGCAAAAAGAAAATTGCTTTGCCTGCTGAACACACATTACACTTAGATTATAAACTGGGAACAGAGCCATCAAAACCTTGAATGTTCTTTAAAGCTGTTTCCAAATAATAATGCTAACCAATACTAGTAGCGTCCCTGGATAAATGCCTAAAATAACCAGAAAATTCTAAGTAATTGGCAATGAAGTAAACTCCCCCTTTATAAAAGGTTTAAGGAGTATACCATTTAAGTGAATGAGAAGACTTTCAAAGACCCTCGAGTAAAGAAATATTTGTATGACACTCGGAAGTTCTGCACAATTTATTAAAAATATTGAAAAAATATTTAAGATGAAAATAGGCTGCACTGTTTCTTCCGGTGAATTTAACACTACATTAACTCATCCAAGAGCCTTTACCTTCTAGCCACGTGTAGAAAGATTCTCCTGTAAATACAAAATATATATTTAAATAAAGAGTAAYCATTTTCAACATTACAGTATCTTTATATTACTATGCATACAACATTATCTGCCATCTGGACATAAAGTTAAATAATKTAGCTATTAAAATGAGAATAGGCACTGAGGCAGCTAACTTCGAGGTTAGTTTAAATCTGCTGGGTCAGAACAGGAAAAATACAAGAATAAGCATGACTAAGCAACTGGTCAGGGTATTCAGCAGTGTGTGGAAGCACAAGTCTGGTTATATACACTGCTGGTGGAAGATGTGATGGCAGAGTGCAAGTCTATCTGACAGTCTTTACCTTGACCTGCCTGAGGGTCTCCTTTAGACTTAAGTCTTTTAGCCAAGAGCTTTCAGTTGACTAAAAAAATCTTAGAGTCTGCCTCACTGYAGGCCAACCAAGACTTYTCTCCCCACCCTCTCCCCGTCTTTCCCAAAATCAAGGACATTTAAGAAAGTACACAAAAAACTGTCCCTCTTCTTTTAAGGGATCARTATCAGCAGGGTTCTGGAAGAACTAATAACATTATCACAACACATTCTGTTACAAGAATAACAACCAAAAAGAGAATTGTGTTTTGCTTTTATCCACTCCTTCCCCTTACTCCAAATGAAAGGAGGATCGTATTAAAAACATTTTCTGATCAATAATCTGCATAAAAATGTAACTTTACTGCTCCCTAATTCAATAACAGTAAGTTGAAGAAATCCAAAATCCAAAACTCCCTCATGCTTACTTCATTTCTTCAGGTCAAGGAAAATAAGATGACTTACCATCATCTCCTCCTTGGAGGAAAAAAAAACAAAAGAAATCCATAAGCATTAAAAAGATAATTTCCACAGCAAAGCAGTAATAAAACAGACTTTACTAAACTTTACTACAAACACTCAAAAGGTGCAAGAAACCTTGTTTAATCTATAAAAAAATAGGTTACTTTCTATCCCTCCATTCTTGTTCCTCAAGACCACCTGAGACTTAACACATTGTAATAATGAAATTGAAATCTTAGTATCAGTTGATTGACATATTCTTGAAAACTGTATTTTAGTTTCAGAAAAATTATTAGGAAGTCACAGTCTTTAGTTTGCATTGTTCAACAATCAGGTCAATGTTCCTTTCTGAAATTCTGATCCCTGCATAAAACCATTTCTATAATTYTTCTGTGTGTATCAGCAATGTATCAGATTTTAGTAATCATAAATGTTGAGATTTCTTGATTTTCTAATGGATGGTGATTTTTTAAAACTCAATCTACCAGTCAACAGTTAATTTTTAAGGGAAATGAGATACAATGACAGGGAAAGTGATTCATTTGAAACACCAGGTTATAGCTTTCAACTTAAATTTCAAAACAAACCCCAAGTCATTAGCATAATTTTTTTTAAACACTGTTGCAGATAATTGATCCTAAGTGTCCGCTCCTTCAAATAATGCAATTATTTGTACACTTGCAGTATGCTACACATTATGGATGAAAAATGTACAGCTGCATTACACCAGAATAAGTATGAACTGAAGTAACTMAATAAAATGCTTTTTGAAAAAATAAACAAGAATATAAGAGTGCATCAAAATTGGAAAGTTAACATGACATTTACTAAATAGACTTACAATTTAGTTTTCATATTGGATTACCTGCCATTAGTAAGCCTACTAAATTAGTTATGCATGTAATAAAGCATCCCAAGCCTTAGTCTAAATACTGAAAATGTACAGCTGCTTCTACAGAGGAAATTAAAAAAGCAGAAAACACCTACAGACTGAAGATTGCTATTTGTATCACTTGTACTGAAATAATGACTAYGTTAAAAGAAATGCATTAGAATATAAAACAGGAAAGACCCACCCCTACTAGGCGCCAGTGGATTTAAAGGACGATAGACAGATCGAGGCCTAAAAAATAAGTTAGAAAACACAAAGATCAATTTTAAGCTAAATTGAGGTACAGGTATAAGAAATAAATTTCCTCTCCCTCCCAATTACTTGAAGCAGTTTTCTTCGTAGATGCTGTTCCATACTCTCCAAGCAGAAGGCCCCTTGTATCCAGTGTAACGTTCTGGATTCAGCAGCAAATCCACATATTGTGCATCTGGAGATCTCTCATCTAAACAGGAAAACTTTTGTTACATATGCTACCTGAGCAATTAAAAAATATTTAATGCAACCAGTCACACTGAACTAAATATAAACAAGAGGTCTCATACAATACTATTCTGTCTTCCAGTTGKATTATAAATGCCTTGTACATAAAAGTGCAGCAATATACACACTAAATACATAGCTCCGAAGTACATAATCTATTCCAAAGTCTCATGTGTGCCCCTAAATTCTACAATGTCTGATCATCATCTATGTGACTTCTTCAAGTCTACCATAAACACCTGACATGCACTGTATTTCCTCATCCTATGCTAAAATACAAACAGTGCTCTGTTTTAAATGGGCTTCAAATTTAGGGTTTGTCTGGCAGTATTTGGTTGAGGGGACTGCTTTTTTGAAATAAGTACACTGCATACAGGAGGTTCTTAATAAAGACAAGATTGATGCAGTACGTCTTGTAGTTGGCACATATTGTGAATTTATTAGCTAAATCCATTTTTCCTCCAAATACCCTTGTATACTGAATCCCATTGCTTTATTGAACAACCTTTCAGCATACAGCAGAATAAATCTCTTGATTACAGCAAAGAAGCATGTTACTTAAGCAGACTTTCARCAAGTTATACCCCCATCTCTGAAGTTCACTACAAATTTCAGGCAACTTATCCAAAGAAAATYGTGAAACTCGATTATCTCTGCTTGAAAATCAGTAGAAATAGAAATAGTTTCAAGCTATAACCAGTAAAAAGCAGGAGGAATTTACCCCTCTGAAATTCTAGGTGAAGAGTAACTATGTTTAAACAAACTCCATACACAAGCCAATAGTCCACAGACTTATTCATAGGAACAGGCCAAGTTGTGCGAYGTAGTACTTCCTCAGATACAAAAAAAAGCCACGGAAACAGTGAAACTGCTCTAAAAGAGATGGCTGTGCATGAGCAATTAAGCATCACTTCAGCAGCAGTAGCAAGAACAAAGAAAGGAGACTGATACCAGACACACAACAATGAGTGCCAGATGACAAAGTCAAATTGCAGCTTTATTTATTTATTTGACAGTGTGACTAACCTACACTCCCTRGTCACTTCAGGCCTCCGTTTTTCCTTTTATTATCCACATAGAACTGAGTCTATGTGCACTGCAGGGCCATGCAAGAGAAAGATGGAAACCTTACCCAGGCTAAGTTTTTTCAGTTAGATCAATTCCCTTATCTAGTTTATCATTAAACCCAACAGGAAGAGATGAGAAGAGAGCAAGGGTTTCTACTTCCTCCCCATGACTCCAGTAGTTATTTTGTCTGACTCTCCCTGCTCCAGATTACAAACTCACCCAACAAACCAGTTCAGCACAACAGTGGGAGAGGTGGCAGGGAAATGGCAACTTACTTTCCTGCTATTTAGGTAAGCTTAATCAGCTTACCATGCAGAAAGATGCACACCAGAGCCAGTGCAAAAAAAAAAAA